AATTCGTCGAGCCGCAGAAAGTAAATAGAGGAGTGTGTGTGTGCGCACATTTTGCGCAATGCCTGACAGGATCCTGCGAGGGAGTCCTGTGTGCAATTCTTCTCCACAACTGCTGCTGCTGCCATTTAGAACCCTTTGATTTTTTTTGGTGCATAAGCCTGCACTTTGCACATTTTTATATGCATAAAAAAACAAACGAAAAAGGAGCAGAAAAAGCAGAACTGACTTCCTTGATGAGTGGACATGCCAACGAAATTCAATTAATTACATTCTCTATTTGCTGATGCTCCCTTTTTATTTACACAGTGAAAATATAAGGATTTTTAAGCTTTAAATAGTTTGGCATTTCCACAAATAGTATATTTTGAAGGCAACTTTATTTATTATCCGTTCTTTACACAATGTATTCATTGTTTCTTGATCTTTTCCTTTTGATTTCTGACACAGAAAACCTTTACATGTTTGATAAACGAATTAAGAGATGTAAAGGAATATTTAACTCATTTGATTAAATTCAAAAAGACGATAATTAACAATCATACATACATAACTAGAGATAAAAAATAATATTGAAAAATACATTTTTTCTCCCAAAGCCTCATCTCTTCTTTTACAGGATATTTACACACAGCCAGAGGGGCGAAAAAAAACGACCCAGAAATATACAACAAATGTGAAAGCGACTTATTTAAAAATGTAAAACAAATATTTGCGTCTGTGGCCAGCATCATTCACTTTATGCGCTTTATGTCGGTTATTTGTTTACGCATTTTTTATATATTTTTCCCCGGGTTTTGTTTGCTCGATTCAGTCCGGTCAAAAGCCGCCCACGGAAAACGAAATATATATAAATATATACGAAAAAATGCGTTCATTTTGCTGCTTTATTAAAAATTGTTGTGCAAATGAAGCGGCAATTTGGTATTTTGCATCTCGCGAAATCCGGTTTGCGGGAGTCCTTCATTATTCACTACACAACACACACACATACACAACATACACGTGCCGCCTCAAAAAAATCCTGCAATAAGGAATAATAAAAAAGAGGAACCCAAAGGGAGGAACCCAAAGGGAGCCAGCCAGAGACTTAAAGTTAATTAATTTTTGCTTTTGATTAAAACGCAACCAGAATAAGCCAAATGCGCTGCGGGGCAAAGGCAAAACACGGGGAGCCCCCTAACACACACACACACACACAAAAGGCTTAATCCTTTGTGGGGATCCTGGGGCCGCACACACACGTGTGTATGCGTGTTATTGCGATTGTGCCCAGTGCCAGTAACAGGGCAAGGATATGGCCCCGAGCGTGTTCAACATTTTAAACACTTTGACTTTGGAGACATTAATGAATACATTGCCACAGAGCGGAGTCACAAAATCGGTTACGGGAGATATATAATGCACTAACAGAAAAGAGGTTTAGCTTTATGAAATTATTTTAGGAAATGAATATAAATAAGACTTACTTATAGATATTTCTGTTTGACAATTTTTATTCAAAATTTATAGTTTATAATTCTCATAACTTAGCCAAATATGCATTAAATTAAATTACATTTTCTTTAAAATATAGAACTCTCGACACTCCTTTTAATGTTGATCAAGAATATACATGATTTATGGGGTCGGAAATGACTCCTGACAAAGTTACAAGCTTCGGACTGAAATTATAATACCATTCTTTTATCCGATATTTTACTATATTTTAATACGAAAATTTGTTCAACAAATCAAAGTTTAAAAATTTCATAACTGAGCTAAAAATTCATTAATTTCAATTCGGAATGCAGTCATGTGCTAGTTTTTGTTAGGTTTCAAAATCTGCATACTCTATTTTTAATTTTAGAAAATTGAAGTTTTAATCAATTTTTTAAAATTTTAGCGATGTAACCCCTTATCAAATTTTCAATTTTTGGAAAAATTTTTAAAATGTTACTTTTCTACCAAACATGCTTAGATCGGTTCTCCTGTTGATGCTGATCAAGAATTTATATGATTTATAGGGTCGGAAATGACTCCTTCACATTTTAGCAAGCTTCTAACTGAAAAATAGTTCTCCCTTCAAGAATAACCGTAACGAAGTTAGTCTTTATTTAAATTAAAAATAATATTTTTATATTTTGTATATATATTTTTTATTTTTTATATAAAATATAAAGCTTTCCAGAACCCGTTTTAGATTTATTTTGAGTGTGGCAAGCGACACAAAACGTGCAGTTGTTTAAAATGCCATTAAACTCACTGAGATGGGCAGCCGCCTGTCAGAATGGCCGGCTGTCCATTTTTCCCCAACACTCTCCCGGCTTTTCCCGCTTCCGCTTTTGCCAGCCGCAAATTTCTCGCTTTTCCTCGCACAATATTTTCTCACTGTCCACCTCTCCCTCTCTATCGGTTTTCCCGGGAGCTGTCAGCATGCATAACTGTTGCTGTCAGGATTATGGCTTGTCATATTATGTATTATAGAGTATTTTATTTGCTTTCAATTAAAATGCGTGTGTCACTCGGCTGCGCATATAAATTGCCAACAAAATAAGACGCAAATTTATGCAAACGAGGCGAATGAGTTTTCTTTTTTCACTCCCAAGTTTTCCCTTATAGTTCTGTCGCCGTTTATTGTTGTTTTTGGTTTGGCGATTCTCTCTGTGCGGAATGTGAAATGAGTTTTGCCGCTTGATTTGCATATCCGCTGAAAACAGGAAAACTAAACAACTTTGTTTACTCCTTTCGTTGGGCCATAAAAAGTTGGCGAAAAACAGGCAGACACACAAGGAAGTAATATCAATACACAAATTGTGATTCTTGTAAAAACAATCAAATGAATTTATAAATTATGGCAAATGGGAAAACAATTTGGCCTGTTTGTCGTACATAAATATGATTTATTTTATTAGCTGAATAATAGCATTAAAGCGAAGGTTTAAATAGTAAACAGAAATTGTTAATAAATATTGGGACTATTTTCTTTAACAGTAAAAAGAATTTTAATATTGTTACAAATACTAATAATAATTTCAGTACCTCTTTTATTAATGGCTAAAAAATTATTATATTTAATAAGGCTAAAAAAAATTAGCCTGTTAATCCCATAGAGGAAAAACAGTTTTCCATGCTAACACAATTTCCAGGCAAATTCTATTACAAAATATTATTCTCCAAAGGGAAAACCCATTTGTGATAACCCCAGCATTTTAGTATAATTAAATTTTCATAAATCCATGAAAACCAGTGGATAATGCATATACTAGTTGTAAATTCAATATGATTATTATATTAACTTTCGTTTAATATTAAAACCTTTTAAGTTCCTCTTCGATTTTATAAACAATTTAATGTTCATCAGCGTAAAGGTGGGCGGTGTCCATTCAATGGTAAACTGCGATAAAATTAAGTTTTTGTAATAAAAATCAAGCCGAGATATTAAGCTAATGCCCCTCCTGACCTTAATGGCTAATATTTTTCGTTTTTTACGCTTTTGGTTCAGTGAACAAAATGCTTATTACTGATTGATATGAATCTAAATTAAAATGGCATAATAAAAGCACTCTGGAGCAGACCTTGGCCAGACAGGTGGACAGGTGTAAGTTCATGGTTCTCATGGTTCTCTTACCATTCCTTTCGAGAACGGAACAGAGCAAACTTTGTGCCGGGATTAGGGCCAAGAGTAATGACAGTCCCGGAGTTGAAAGACCAGGGTCCGGAGGCATTAGCCAAGCCTCACACCCGTGCTAGGAACTCAGGCTGATTGCCATCGATACGGCAGGCGGGTCACGTTCATAAAGTCTCAATCGCCGGAATCGCTGGCCCAGGTGCCGGAGACAGCTTAAAGTTGGCCCAAACGGATAAGAAAAAAAATACCAAAAATAATATTGGTTTCTTAGCCAAACTTGGGAAATTCTTAGAGAAGACTTAAAACCTTGAAAGTTTCCATTAGAATTCTGTTAATTTTATTGGAAATTCTGTAAAGCTTCACAATCCTTAAGCACCACCTTTCCTCTTGGTGTTGTCTTAAAGCAAAATCCAAATGGTGGCTGTTTGCTGCTGTTTAAGCTGCTTTCTTCTTTCGCCTCTGGCAAATGATTAACTTAATTATAAATTAATTAGGCGAGGGGGGAGGTAGGGGGAACAGCAGCTTGGGGAGTGGCAGCGACATCAAAGTATCAATAATTAATCGCCTTGATAATGTTTTCAATTTCTTGCTTCATTAAGTTGTTTTATTTTGGCGAGTGCGAGAGGCGTTGGGCCGCCCGTCTTTTCTCTAATCCCCCGGAGGGCTCTGTAGCTCTGTCCAGCTAAGCCTGGTTAATACATTTTGAATTAGTTTTTTGCACAACACAAGGAGTTTAGGGTTTGCCCACAAAAATCAATAGCTGGGATTTTTCTTGTAATTTGTATCACTTTCAAAATTTAGCAAAGATCTAATGATTCTTAATTTGCAAGGTCTAGGAATTATTTAGTTAAACAGATAAGAAATGCTTTGGAAAATCATTAAAAATATATATAAAGTATAATAAATATAAATAACGAGAGAGACACCTCACAATGATACTTTCTGTTGCAATATAAACAAGGACTTGAGGCCCGCAAAAAAATCAATAGCCTTTTTCCTATAACTTCCAATTGAAAAACATTCATCTTCAGGCCGGAAAAACACCTTGTTTACCAGCAGTAAATAGGCAAAACAATAATCCAAATTTGTTTTTGCCAATGAAAACAAATGGTTGCCTCCAAAAATCAATAGCCTGAGACTGAGCCTCAGAATAAAGGTACGAACATTTTTATGAAATTAATTCACGAACAGTTGGAGGGAATCCCTCGTCCCCGGACTGATGTATATAATATTTTTGCACATGTGAATGAGCGGTGAATGGGGAGCAGGAAATAAAACTGAAACCGGATGTGCGCCTGATGGCCAGGCCGGAAATTAAACTATTTGCTAGCCTGCCACGCGAGTATTTTGCTCAAAAGCAAAACAACAGTTTTGACATTGCTGACACACTCACCTGGTTAAGGTATAATTTCTGTTAGTAACTTTATATGGTTGATTTGTAATTTTTTAGTGAACTTTCTTTTGGTTATTGCGAGGGGAATATAAAGTATATTTTCTCAGGTAGCGTGTGTTAGGCGCGCGTTTTAAAGTCGCTTCGAGGGGATTTTCCGACACCTCGATGGCTGGTACTTGTACACCGCACACCCGCACACACTCACTCGCGCAGCACACGCACACAGCACACGCACACCTTTGGCCGGGAAAGTGAGTTAGGAAAAGCAATGTGGCTCCTCCTGGCTACAGCTTTGTTTTGGGGAGATCTAATGGCCAGGATCTGTTTGTGTCAGCCTCCGCGCTTGGTGTCCTGCTCGCGAGACGGCTCAACTCGAACTGTGACGAGGCTGGTCCTTCGCATTTGGTCCTTCGGCGCGCCTCCTGTGCCTCGCTCACACTCACTCTCTCTCTCTCTCTCTGTGTGTATGGTGGTTCTCTCTCTCTCTCTGTCGCACACTGGAAGGACGACTCCTTGCCAGCTGGCCCAGCATTAAAAAGTAATATCAATTTCCACCTTGCGAAGTCGCACGAAAGCAACAGCTAAGCGATTTCCCTGGATGTGGATGTGGATGTGGATGCGGATGCAGGCAGCTGCTGCCGATTGTGTCCTGCTGGCCCCGCCCCCCACGCCCACACGCACTTGCCTTGGGTGCGCGCTCTCTCTCTCCGTTCTTTCCTTTCCCACAGTGAAAGCCCGACTTTCACTCTACACGAACGCACGGCAGCGGTATGGCACGGTATGGTGTCCTGAAAATGTACCCAAGTGGAGACTTTTCATAATTGTTGCATGCCAGGACATAGAATTGGTCGCAGAACAGGACATGATGATGATGTTGATGTACGGTCTAGTGATGGTTATCTTGAAGAGGGAAATAGATTGTTCAATTAAAATAAATGCTGATAGTGATTAATATAGAATTAAATTGAATAATAATAAAGATAGATATCATAAGATATAAGGGTATTTGTAAAGGTTTCTTAATGATTAAAAACTAGGACACATATTAAGCTTTAAAAATTTAAAATAAAAGTATATTTAAGGGTTAGTTTATTAAGATTGGTAGAAATTCAGAAGTAACTTTATGTTTAATAATATATTAATATGGTCGGTGCAACATATGTAACTACTCTAAATTTTTAATTTAATTGAAGCTAGGTTTGCCTATTAAAAAGATCAAATCTACTGCAAAGAACTTTATTAATTTTCCGAAATATTATTAATTAAACTTATTTATTAAAAGAGTGGAATGTTATAAAAGTCTTGATTAAACCAGAACAAAAAGTAGAGGTTCCTAAAAAATCTAGGAAAAAAGGAAGTTCTGTAACTTAAAAAACTGTCCCTAAAATAATTTTAAATCTATTTAATATTTTCGTCATACATTTCGTTGAGTGCTCATAAGCCTCCGAATTAATTGCGTTATTTTAGCAGCTTCGAATTGACTTCGCCTGAATACAAACTAAGGCACTAAGGCACTGGGCACTCGTGCCCACACAGACCATGGCAAAAGCGCAACAGGACCAAAATAATTGCGCGTTAAACATGTGCCAGGCAACATACACACACACAGACAGAGAGAGTGAGAGTGTATTATATACGAGAGCGAGAGTCCTTCTACCGAGAGAGATTCGAAGGACGACATTGAAAGCCGAGGACAGCCGAGGCCCAGAGAGTGGCGACTGGAAATGTTCAACTGGTTGCGTTTTCACAAGCAACAGGATACGCTGGAAGCCAGGCAGAACATCGCCAGGGATGAGAAAAACATCGCACACTCACACTGCCCAACAAGGAGCATAGGGAGCCAGAGCTGGAGCCGGAGCAGGAGCAACAACCACAAGGCAGTCGAAGGCAGTCGCGTGCTTTAAGCTTGAATACCAAAACAATTTGAGCGCACAATAAAATTCAATGGGCCCCCTCTCTAAGGCAGTGGGAAAGGCGAGGTTAGGCTGGGCAGGAAAGAAAAAAAAGAAATGGAAAAGGAAAATGTGCCAATGCGAGGTGGAAAAGGGAAACTAAGATGTGGCGGAGAGTGAGGTTTCATTGCGTGTGAAAGGAGCAGCAGCGCCTGTTGAAGGACGAATGGCATTAGAATGCTGCCAAAGGAAACGCACACACGAGATGTGAACTTGGAAAAATATCATACCATAAATCGACAATTAATTGATCCATAAATCTCAAAAGGTTATTAATATAACATATTTTTCTACTATATTTTACTTTCATTATTTTTATATTTTTTAAATAATAATATAAATCAAAAGACTTTTAAGCTTAATAATATCAAGGTTACTTAACTGCTGCCAAATTCTCTTCTATGTATAATTTTTAAACATTGAAATATGTTTTGTATTGTTTTAAATACTGCTGTATAATATTATATTTATTTTACGAAGCCATAAGCACGCCTCATAGAACCTTTTTCCTTCTCTTTAATCTTTTCAAAACGCTCTTGTTAAATACTCCATTAAATTAGAGATTATTTAAGATTCAAATTAATTAAACTTGCAAGATTTACCAAAGGCTTTCTCCCTTAAATATTTATATATATTCCCAACCATTTATTCTGCCAGTGTAGTCAATGTTTACCTGTTAGCCAGCCAGTCATCAAGGGATGTTTGGGTTTGAGCCCTCACCACTGGAAGTCGGGATGTTGACTGGCGATTTTCGCAGGACTCGGAAAAGGTATGCAGCGTCTGTCGATTAAGATGCCGGGATCGGAGAGGCGGGGTATTGTTGGTGTTTCTCACTCTGTGTGTGTGTGTGTGTTGCAAGGGGGGCTTACGGCCCAGGACTCATGACAGACAACGAGGACCTGCCTGACTGCCAGGATGGCTGGTCTGGCAGCTTATCAATTTGTATGCCTGCAGATATTTATTTATGAATATCCTTTGGACCCTTGGTTCTCGCCCGCCTTTATGGGGTACACGAAATGCCAAAATGCTGAAATGCCGCGTAATCCTGACGCACACACCTTTCGCCTTCGTCCAAGGGTCCTGCCAGCGTCCATTTTTTCTTTTTCCTCGACCTCGTCCTGTGCTTTATGTGTGTCTCTGTCTCCGGATCCAACTTCTCCATTACTCTCTGCCTTTTTCTTGTACACTTTTTTTGCTGTTGTTGTTGGGGTCTTTCCGTCGTCTCCGGCATTTTCACGAGCCGTTGCTTAATTTTATTTTTATTGCAGATTGATTTTTTCAGATTAAGTTTTCCATTTTACAAGCGTCGGCGGCTCTTTTAGCATTTTTCCTGCGATTTTCTTGTTTCTTTTTGAGGCTGAGAAAAATGTGTTGCCTACTTTTTGGGGCGTTTTTTGGCTTGAGGCTAAGAATTATTAGGGGTTAGGAATTATGTGTTTCTTGAGAAAACTATTGAATATTAAACGTTATATTAAGGTTTATTAATTAGTTAATACATCAAATATTATAAAAACATTTAAAACTATAGTTAATATTTACAAAAACGTAATATATTCCTCTCCAAAATTGTCCTTCATTATTTTGTGCATTTAATTCACATTTTAAGCTGCACAGTCCCACAAAAACCTTGAAAGCTCTTCTTTAGCGTAAATTTCAAGTGATTATAACTTTTCCAAACATGTTGATTTTTGTCCAACCTTTTTTTTGTCGTCTGGCAAAGAAATGTGTTGTGCCTACAATCCCGGCTTCAATTAGCCGCACAGAAATAAAAAGAAAACAAAAACATAAAGTAAACAAACTGACAGGCGAACTAGAGCCACTCTTCCCCGGCTGTAACGCTTTTCCCCAAACAATTTTCCAACCTCGCTAACACACAGAAAACTCGAAGTAAAAGTAAAACATTTTCATGCAAATGCTTTTGTTTAACCATGGAATATCCCCGACATTTTGCACACATCCTCGCCGAGTCCTGCGCGTGTGAGAGTCTTGCGGCGAAAGTTTTCAACCGGCACGCCTCGCAGCCAGAGCAAACAAAATCAAACCGAGCGCAGTAAAACAAACCAATATTGACCCACGGTCAGGTCAGGTCCAGGGGTCAGACTAGGAACGTGGGAATCTAGGACTAGCTGGGCAGATAAAAAAAAACGAAATCGAGATAGAACAGAATGCAAGGATATTGTGACTACACTTATTCGCTTTGTACTCTTTAGCAAAAGGTGTTGAATATTTAATATCAAGTTAAGTAATTTTCTCCCATCATACTACAAAACTTTCTAAGCCTTTTCCTTTGTTCTTTGTGGCATTATTCTTATATTTATATACTTACACTACAGAATTTATAACTGGGTTTCATAAATTCCCGCATTTAAGTGTGAGAATTCCCGCTTTCTAACATCTGTTTTCAACTGCTAAGTAAGGGAAAAAAATCCCAGCCTAATTGCTTGCCATTAGGTTGGCTTAGGAATCTATTTTGCGAAATGGCCAACTGCAAGTGCAACTGTCATCGAGTTGGATGACCAGCTGGCATTTTATCCCTGACGTTTATGTCAACTAAATGCGTAAGCTTATTTTGCATTCGCCATGACACTCAATTAATGGCGACGGACGAGAAAAGGACCTAGGACTCAAGGACTAGGGACAGGGGAATAAGGTACAAGGACCGAGGGCCGCATAATCCTTTGCGCACTTTCAATGGCTACAACTTAATTATGTGGAAGCCCCCAAGAAAGACAGCCCGAGCACTTGACGCTAATGCCGGGGCCACTTGAATCCCAAATCCCCAGCCTCATCCGCTTTTGCATTTCCTGGCCAGCAAGATGAAAGAATTAAGAAGGAACCAAATAAGGTGGATCTGTCGGGAGACTATCCTATTCCTAGTAAATTATTTTTCTTCAATTTAAAAACTTATTTAATCCTTCTTTTCAAAGTTCACTAATCTTTCCAATAGCCAAACTTAATTGTTATACCCAAAAATCCTCATAAATTCACTAGACTCTCAGTTAGGGCAACCGAAAAAGGGTCTGCAAAAACACAACTTAAGTGCTTCATTACGATTTTAATTTGGCATTTTACCTGCCCGACCACCTCCTTGACTTTCTTCCCACTCTTCCCTCTATCTTCTTGGCCAGCTTGGTCTTCTTAATTAGAACAATTTGCCGGGACGACAAGTGGTCTTAACATAAACTTGAGTAAATGACGCAAAAATCGCGACAAACCAGCCATTGTCATTGCCATTGTTGGAGTTGTTTTTTAC